TGCACTAATTGAAAACTTACTCTCTTTTTTGGGATAAAGTTTGCAAAAAACTTAGTCATGGATTTTGGCATAAACTCCATTAGACTTGTAACGAAAACATCTGTCGATCCCTATTGCCGTTGGCAATTTAAAGTTTTTCGTGTTTTTCTCAGCACCAACTTTGCGATTTTGACTATTTTGACTATCATTCGATGCAGAAGAAGTTTATGCGTCGAATGATATCAAAATTAACTCAAAATGGAATATCCATGTAAAGTTATGAGGCAAAAGGTTAAGTCCCACTCAAAATAGGCGGAGTTTAGGTTTTTAGCTAACAACTTTGGATATAAAGAGATACATAGACATTACATAACTAGCTTTTCCAGGAAGGGGAAAAGCATACTGTTAAAGTAATTTGTTAATAGTAGCAAAATTTGAAACCCTTTATCAAGGTCAATGCAATGATATGAGTCGTGTTTGGGTGTACGATGAAGGGGAACACGCACACGTAAAGCCCTTTTAACTCTTTCCACTCGAGAGTCAACATAATCCCTCATTCCTCACAAAACCCCAAAACACGACAAGGAAACTAATGTTTAAAAAGATTAAAGGGTTGATATCATTGCAAGGAGTTGCAACAAAATATTGTTGTTGAGATTAATTTGATTGCTATCAAAGTGCAAAGCTTAACTAAATCTGAATCACCCCAAAAACGACACATAAAAATAGACAATTTTTATGGACAGGTAATTTCATAAACGCAGCATTCCATTTTGATTTCCAAATATTAGGTTGATGCATAAGTCTTTTGGTTCCTTTTCGTCTGCCGTTTCAAGCCAACAAATGCACCAATTAAACTACGGTTGTTTTCATTAGAAAAACCAATTATTTTTCTGCAAAATAACATTAAAACGGGTTTAAAAATATTTTATGCCTGGATTTTCTTGAGATTATGAAGTCGGGTAGTCAAAAAGGGCTAACTGGATGATGCGGTTTAGACACCTTAGCTAAAGAAAACCTATCTTCGTGTCAATAGATAAAAGATAGAGAAAAAAAAGTTTGATATTTCGCCAAAATTTCAGAGAAATTCATTCAGCCAATTTTTCCGTAGAGTTTTTTATAGATTTTTACGAAAAAGGCGTTTTTCACTCTCGAATTTGCTTGAAAGTGAACCGAAATTGATTTAAAAAGATGGAAATTGAACAAAAAAACACTTTTTTTATAGAGCAAACTATAGATTAATTGGTGAATTTGTTACTTTTTAACAGAAGTACGAAAAAAACGAAAAGACTTATGCATCAACCTATTAGTTAACATATTTAACAAACGTTCTGCAGATTTCTGTTCGATCCCATGAACTTCTAGTATCTTTTGATGCGGAGCTGGTGAGCTAACAGCACGCATCTTAATTCTGTCCTATTTTCAGTCGATTTGCCGTTGACAATCTATGTATTTTGTTCGTCTCTTAGCCGGATTAGTTCGAAAAACGTTGAATTTACTTTCATTTGACTCGAAATCAAATTTTCTATTGAATGAAAGCAAACTCAACGTTTTTCAAAGAAATCCGGTCAAGGTACGAGCAAAATACATAGATTGCAAACGGCAAACCGACTGAAAATAGGGCGGAGTTAACATGGCTGGCTAACAAAGAACAAAGAAGAACAAAGAACAGAAGAACTTCTTGAAGAACAAAAATTGGGTCAAATTTTGAAATGCTTGAGCTGAGATTTTTTCTACAGCAAGAACAAGCTTCCAAAGAAAGAATTCTCAAGAGAAGCTTTCAATTTTTCCTTTCAATTTCCAATAGAACACTAGACTCGAAGTGGTGCTTGAAATTTTTAATAAAATTTTCTGCCATCTACGTCAGAACTCAAAAATAAGCTTATAAAGGTAAACAAGAGAAACTTTGATCTTTCGCATACACATTTCAATGATAACAAGCGATAGGTGTTTGGGAAAAAAGAAGGAGGAATCCCGGGGGCCGCCTATTTCCATCAAAGCCATCGAAGTGTCCTTTCCCCTCCTCAAATCCCCATCCGCATCAAAAAGGCCGTTTTCTGGGTGACCGGGGATAAATCAAAGCTTTTGCCCAAAAAGGATCCTCATCTTTTTTGAGGCAAAAGATGACAGCCGTTTTGAAGGGGGATAACCCTGCAACCATGCAAATCAACTTTACGAGAATTTGGAAATGAAGAATAAAATCGCGACGACTTATTGCGCAAACAGCTTTACCAATTACCCCAGTCAAGCAAGCGGTGTTTCGAATTTTGTCGGCCTCATGAGCTTATTGAAACTGAGGATTTTTGCACGGAAAGGTCAGCTCTTAAGATGTACAACTTTTGTGAAACCAGGCTAGAAAACAGATTTCAAACGAAATTTGAGAATTCGAATAGAACTAAACTGGAAAGATTACGAGAAAATCAAAGTTCATCGAAAAAATGATCAATTAACGGCTTGCAATCATGTAAAAATACCTTTCTTACAAAAAACAAACATCATTTTTCTAAAGCCTCGAGTTTGACCTTAAAAGATGTAGCCATTCAATGTGAAATATGATTTAAAAACAACTCCAAGAGCAATTTAATAATAAAATGAAAAGTTTATCAAAAGAAATTTTGTCGAGAAACGAATCTGACGTCAAACTCAGCTTAGATTAGTTTGAGTCGAAGCCAAAATAGACGCTGCTTTTCTCTCTTTTTCGTCGATGAGCGAAAATTTCCCACAGTGATGCCCAATGTAAACGGTTCTAAGGAGAAAAAAGGAAAAGAAGATGGCATAAAAATGTGGCAAACACTTTTTGATGTAAGAAATTCTTTTCAAAGCACTTCAAAAAGGTGTTTGGTCATCTTTATTTGGCTTTGAAGTTCAAGAAATAGCATGATATAGAAATTTGTGATATTTCTATGGTAAAAATCTAATCAATCTACTATATATAAAAGAGCAGTGTCGGTCTGTTTGTACGGACATTTTCTTGACCATGTTTTGACCAATGAAGCTAAAACTTTTTTAGAAAACCTTAGAATATATTGTAGTTGTGCCATTTAAAATTTAAAACAAAAAATTAAAAAGTCAAACTTGAGTGGCACTACGAGAGTTGAACCCGAATCGTAGACAAGCGCGCTCCCGACTGCGCCACGGTGAAAAAGATTGGCCCAAACTTTCTACAACAAAAACCCGCCGTTAGGCGGATTTTTGGTGGTTAGGAGAAGATTTTCAAAGTTGTCCAAAGCCGGCCATTTCTGCAAAAACAAAACGCAACCTCGATTTCTCCTTGCTAAAGATTTCTTCACACTTTCTCTTCAACCCTTACATCCGGTGTCAATTAGCATATTATGCAAATCTTGACGTATTGATGGTCTCACTCGAGATGACAGAAAAACAAAGCCCGACCGCGTGGCCTTGAAAGGATTAGAAGAAAGAAGAGAAAGGATCGAGTGAAGAAGTAAAGGATAAACAGGGTACGGATATGGAAACAGATTCATTCAGCTAATTAGTGAATGGGGAAACAAAAACAGGGTAATGATCAATGAAAAATGTGATCAATGAATGTAATGCTGTAGCAATCAAGGAAAAATGTGATCGCAGTGTTTTGAAAAAGAATTAGAACAAAGCTGGGCAATATTTCAAAAGCCTGGTATTGATTTGACTTCAAATTTTCAAGTTAAAGCAGCTTTAAACTGTTTGGACTAAGGATTGACGTTCTATGGCGGTAAAAGCATTTCCCATTTTCGATAAAGCGCCAGTTTTATATCAATGATCAAATCGATGAAAGCTCCTTTAAATTCTTAAGAAAAATGGAAACTTTTTATTAGTAATATGGCTTATAAACAAATGGAGTTCATCGGTTCTTCACTAGTCAAGCTAAATTCGGCTTTCCCTCCACTTTTCCATAGAATAATTTGCCCACAAACAAACGGCAGTATCACATTACAAAGCCCCCACAAAAAGGTCGAATCGGAATTGGGAACACTGGCAAAAAAAGTTGGACTAATTCTACCCTTGGAAATCTTATAGCTGAAAGAAAATTGAGGAATAAAGAGGAGGAAAGATGTGCATTCTTTGGGGATTTCCCCCTTTTCTTTGCCTCTAAAAGTGCCCACTTGTCTGTCGCAAAATTGGGAGATTCAACGTCGAAAAAGATGAGAAGAAGAAGAGATTCGTTGCGATGGCGACCAAGCCCTTCTTCTATTTCTTCTACTTTTCTTCACTCTTAGTTCGTTGAAAAAAACATCTCTGAGGAACTGGTGCGGATCTTCTTTTGCTTACAACTTGTAGAAACAGATGGAAAAGGAAAGCAAGCAGACTTGTTTCTGTTAAATTTGTCTACAAATTCAGTGGTCTAGATGATTCAGGTCAAAATAACTGCTAGATCTGGTTTATTTAGCAGTTTTGCATCTCCTGGCCAAGCCATTCAGGCCAGGCCAAAGTTCAGCTTCATCTTTTCAGAAAAAAAAACAAAGCTGACAGTAGATTGGTGAAAGATCAGAACCTATTCCTTTTCCCCTCTGCCTTTTGCTGGTTGTTCAACTTTTGACCCTTGAGCTAGTTTTAAGGCAAATCATGGACGATGAAAAATTTGGGAAAATGCCGTTTCAAGTAATTTTTTGCAAATTTGCAATTCCAGTCTAACAATAGCTTTCAGATTTTTGAATTCTTAATTAGCTTTACACTTTAGCCTCCAATCGCTCCATGCTCTTTGTTTTCAAGAATGGAAACACATCCTTTCTAGCGCACGAACCAAGCAAAGACTAATCCTGGGATTTCAAAACAAAGCTGAACTCATTAGTTTAAACTTGACAGATACAAGAAAATTTTAGCATTCAAAATATAACATTCATAATATAACATTCATAATATGCACAAAATACATTGAACACGATAAAGCTCCAATTTTTTCAGCTAATTTCGTGAATTCAATCCATTCGTTGCACAAGGGGGGCCCATCTGCGAGATGAGATTTCCCTCTCGTTGAAAAGATCCTTTACTAGGTTGAGTTGAGCGTTGGATCTCTCCTCAATTCGATGAATAGGCCACTTCGTCGATTCAACCCAATGATTAGGTTTACCACTCGAGGATTCACGTTTCTGAAATTTTCAGGTTTCGAGGGCATCGGAAATAAAACCAAACAGGCTAAAAATGAAGAAAAATACATGTAAACGCACAGTTTTGAATTGTTCTTTGACTGGTCTCTTGTTAACAGTTTTGAATGATGAATAAGCTTTAAAGGCTTGTATCTTTTTTAGTATCTTAGTATTATTTTGTGGAAAAATGGTGCTTTATTGTAACTTGCAAAAGTTGCGTAGCTAATTCGGAATAAAATGAGAGCTTGCATCAAAAAAAAAACAAACACACCTAACAATGAAACTCTTTTTGAGGCGAACTGCAGCGTTACTTCTACAGAGTGACGCACAATTATGGAAACTCGGTTTTTCGACTTCAACTCGACTTCCAATCATTCAATTCCCCTAATTTTATATTTATATGAAATCTCAAATTAAGTTCTGCAATCAATTTCAATTTTTAGTTTAGAAACACAGTGTTACGCTTTTTATAGTACTTTGAAGTTCAGAGGCGCCAACATCATCATCATCATCATCAACCTCTCGGCAAAATCATTGTTTGACAGAATTTGTACATATTTTGAAGAATTTCCTCTTTGTATTTACTCATTTTTGCTTTTTATTAAGAAATAGAAGTATCTGGAGGATTTCATATCAGAAGATTTTCAATAATTTTAAAATTTTGAGAGCCAATAGTTGGACTCCCTGAAAGCTGAGCTGATCAGAGCAGCGATCTGTATGGTAACTCTCAAAATCATTCTTGATTTGCTGTTTTGCAAATTTAATACATTCATTTTGTGATATTTGTTTAAATTTAACTAGAGAGTGGAAAAAACTAAAAGAATTGGTTGATTTGTGGGCGATTCTTGAGAGTTGAAAACGAAAATGATGTTTCCACCGAAAGGTTGGCACCGCTGAACTTCGAAGTACTATAAATATTCAATTAGGGGAATTGAATAATTGGGCGTCGATTTACAGTTGAAAAACCGAGTTTCCATAATTGTGCGCCATCATGTACAGGGTGATAAACAATCATGGGCGCACCTGATAAATAATGTAATTTTGGACCGTGCTGGAAGTTTAAAAAGTTTTATGAAGTTTTATGTTTTATGTTTTATGTTGTACGGAAGTTTTATGTTTAAAACGTAGCTAAGTATTTGTAGTTTTTAAAAATCAAAACCGTTTTTCGAAAACCCTTCTAGTTTTTTAGTTATACTCATTCTCGTACCTTTCAAAAAAGGCCACAGCGCCGCTGCTCTTTTTTCCAAAAGTTCAGATCAAAATATTTTTGTAAAACGGTTAGCTGATTGGTTTTCATAGGAAGATAAATTTAGTGCTTTCCGAAGAGCTCCTTTATCGTTTGAACTCACCACCACGTATACAGGAAAACAGAAAATGGTTCTGATTGCCCGGACAGCGTAAGTTTTCTTGAGATAATAAACAGTCGGAGATTTAAAATCCTTTTATGATTTTCGAATTTCGAATGCCTATCCTCGCCTAAGATGGGTTTGCTGCAGACTGCAGACTTGAAATTTTTCAAATTTTTTTCAAATTTCAGTGATGGTGACGATGTAGCCCGAGCTCATCCGTTTGCTCAAGACTTGCAAGCGATGGGAAGAGTGATTGTGGTGTCAGTGGAATTTGATGTAAGTTCACGGGCTTAATGGTTTCGAATTTAAAAACGTGCTCATTAAGCATGAAAGATTTAAAGCTTAGGCTATTTTTACGATAAAATAAGTTCAATGCATTGATCGTAGCAGTTGGATGAGAGAAAAAGTGACAACAAAATGATCAATTATGTAACTCACCGATTTTGCGCATCATTCATGGAAAAGGCTCAAATCATTTTCACTGTTAACAAATTAAAATGGCCTAGTATTAGGCCAAGAAATGGTTTGGGCCAAGAATGGCCTAGGTCAAGAAAATCTTTTCATTTCTTTTCGTACTTCCGTTGAAAAATAATAAATTCACTAATTAACCCTATGGTTTGCTCTAAATAAAAAGTGTTTTATTGCTCAATTTTCCATCTTTTCAAGTCAATTTGCGTTCACTTTCAAGCAAATTCGAGATTTGGAACGTTTTCGCAAAGATTTTTAAAATCAGTTTTGATGTTATTTTGCATAAAAATAATTGACCTTTCTAATGAAACAAACCGTAATTCAATTGGTGTATTTGGTGTATTGATTTTAAATGGACGTACGAAAAGGAACGAAAAGACTTATTTCTCAACCCGATCTCTGAAAATTTGGCTATTTGCCTAACTTTTTGTGCTTTTATCTATCGGTTTTCTTAACTAAAATGTCTAAATTGCATCATCGAGCCGCATTTTTGACTACCCGACTTTACGCTCCCAAAAAATCCACACAAAAGAGATGCTAAACCCGTTTTAATGTTATTTTGCAGAAAAATAAGTAACCTTTCTAAGGAAACAAACCGTAGTTCAATTGGTGCATTTGTTGGTTTTAAATGAAAGTACGAAAAGGAACGAAAAGACTTTCTGGACAGCCTAATACAAGAGTTCTAAGACTTTTAATAAAAAAAAAACGTAAAGCAAGACAAGCTAGCTTTATGAAATTTGCTTATAGCTCACAAGCAGTGCAAGTACCCAATTTCAGGTGAGTAGTCTAGCAGTGCTGGCCTCTGATGATGCGGCTTTTGAATGGAATGACCCAATGAGTCCCTATCCGCTCATCGATTTCTGGAATACGCAACTTAGTAAATAAATATTTTGTCAGAATATTGATTCTAAATCAAATCTAAATCAAATGCACTTTGTGCTTTTTGTGTGACACAAACAGGCAATACGAATTTATTCAAATCTGTTCTAAAAAAGCCGACAAGTGTCCAGAGATCGATTGTGAACAAATTTTATTGTTTGCTGCTTCATTTGCTTTCTTTTTTTAGATTCTTATTCTTAATTTTACAATTCTTCAGGAAATTCTAATCCAAAAATGAAAGACGATCGATTCACAATAATTGTTTCCCTTCTGTTGGGCTTTCTCGAGTTCACATTCCGATTCGGCTATGATATAATGGCATTCACCGTCGAATCGGTCATGTATTCGGTGAAGGGACGATGCAAGGATTGTATTATCGATTTTGCGGGATATTATGGGTTTGTACCAAGAAGTTCTTGTCTTTACACTAGTTTATGCGTCTTTCGATCAAGACTTTCAGTCTTTTGCACCTTATCGTACAAAATTCGGTTAACCAACCGGTTAACATTCGGTTAACACTCGTTATTTGTACTTTTACTTCAACCCAACGGCTTACTTGCATGAATTCGATAACGGGGCTAAAATGCGAAAGGATTCGTGCAACATTGACCAAGATTTGTTCGAAACTGGATGAAAGCAACAGTTTAACTGATTTAACTTGTATTTAACACTGGCTTAACAGTGAGAAAATGAACAAATGTAAACAATACGACGCTTATTTTATAAAACTACCGTAATCTTTTTCATTCGATCGGCTTGATTTTGTTTTTTTCAATAAGGTATCACAAGGTTCAGAAAATGGTACCAAAATTGGCTTGTGTGAATGCAAACTGGCAGTAGTTTTCTTTTCGAAGGCCCATTTAATCAGTTTTTCTTTTAGACAAGGTGTCTACTACGTTTTTTACACAGTTTCCTGCCTGATCAGCCCTGGAATTCTCCATTCGATCGGAATCCGAAACACTCTTCTACTCTCGGTTTTATGTTTTGGCACCTATGTCACAAGTTTTCTCTACATTCGAAACTTTATCTATTTCCCAGCGGCTGCCTTGGCTGGATTCGGGTGTTCCTGTGAGTTGCTGTTTTATTCGAATCTGATTGATGTTTAGTGTTCTACTTGGCCACTGCTGCGTATTCGGCGAAACACTCAACGAGTGCAACCTTTTCGAGAAATCAAGGAATATATTGGATGATTGCTCGAACAGGGTTAGTATTGTTGGCTAGTATTATTGGTTAGTATTGTTGTGCAAAGTACTAAATTGTTGAGCTTATTGCAAGGGTAAATACTCAAGTGAGAAAAGACTCCTTTCCACGAATTATTCGAAATGCTGTATTAGAATGACACTCCCTCGAAATCTTGACCCCTTGTGGATAGATCTAGGCCTTCTATGGATAGATCTAGGCCTTCTATGGATAGATCTAGACCTAAAACCTACTAAAATTTTATCGGCAGTAAAATTTAAAACGTTATTTTTGAAAAAATATAAAAATAATTTTTTGAAAAAATTATAAGGGTCCCCCACATGCATTTTTTTGGAGATTCAAAGAAGGTAATAAAATAGCTTCACTTCTAAACGTGTTTTTTGTACATTTTGGACAAAAGGCCATCGTTTGAAATAGTCTTTAACAAATTCTAAATTTTTGATTCATTTGATTTTTTTTGATTCCCTTACCATAAATATTGTAATAGTACCCCACCCCATAATGACCATGCGAAGTGTTGCGTAGTCTAGTTTTGAACGAGTTTTTCTCGACACTGGTTTATGCTACAATGCGCGCTTAGGTATCAAAAAATAGCTGAAATTCAGGGCTATTTTTTGATACCAAAGACGCACTTTTTGAAAGTACGGGCGCTTTGAAAAAAATGAAATACTAAATAAATTTTGCGACTACGCGACTGTACGAGGGGTGGGGTGCTATTACAGGATTTACGGTACCTATTTTTCGGGTAGGTTGAGTTTGAGGGGTTGAAAAATAGAATGAGATGTCTTCTAATACAGCATTTACGGTATTAGGTTAACAAGAAAGTAGGAAAAATTTGCACGGTGATTTCTCAAAAAGCAACCCATAAATTCTTCCCAAATTTTTTTGGTAAACTTAAGCGATTTCTTCAACTGAAGTGACTTAGTTACTTTTTGAGTAACCAGCCTTTAGACAGGTTTTTAATTGGTTAATTGGTAGGTAATGGGTTCTATTTAAAAACTTAAATGACGTTTCGTAAAACAGAAAATTTACGATTAAGACAAATTTTATATAATCCTTTAAATTTTCATACATACATACATACAAAAGATGGTACGTTGTTATTAGTATTGCAATGTACAGTCCTCTCACTTTGCGGCCATTTTTCTTCTAGTAAACAATAATTTTTCAAAAAGTTTTTTATATCATCGTCGAGCCCAATTGAAGGGCTAGATTTTGGTACCAGACTCGCAAAAAACGAAGGCCCTGGTAAATGGAAATTCCATTTGGCGCAATCTTCGTTTTTACGCAGCGGCACAATCTTGAAAATCCTTTTATTTATCCTCCATTGGTACAACAACCGGTCTTGCATCTGGTTCTGACTATCAGATCTTGTAGATTTTTTGTACTGACAATTTAGTGTGGCAGCCTGTGGCCTGATGATGATCTTCACAAATCATTCGAGTGCTGGAGAGCTTTTGGGGAATCAAACAGTTAGTTTGTTTGTTAGAAACTTGTTTAAACCAAAAATTTACCATTCACTAATTACTAAAGGGTGGGCCAAAATTACCGTTACATATAAAAAAAGTCTCTGTATAAAAAGCAACTCAAAAGGTCAAAGATTTTTCTTAAAAATAACTTCTATTGTCTCGTAACAATTCATAAAAACTATTCCTTTTCAAAGAGATCTCCATTAGCTTTTACACAGGCGTCCAAACGTCGTAGAAAAGCGTCGATTGTGGCGAGAAGGAGATCCAATTCTTCGTAGGTATAGGAGTATAGGTATTGTATAGGTAAGGTATGGGAGATCCAGTTCTTCCCAAGCCTTTCAAACTATCAACAGTTTTGTGTGGTTGATAGCGTCAACTGATAGCATTTGTGATTTATTTTTCTTGTAGGCCTTTAACTTGAGCTTGTTTTTGATGATTCTCCTAAGGGATGTTCGCTCTGTATCCCCATTTTTTTGTGACATTTTCCGCACCGATTAGTTTGGTGTTTTCAACAGGCGATTCCTCACTTTTTTGGACATTTGCTGAAGTTTTTACCGTTCGCTTTCTTCCATTTCGCTTTCGCTTTTGCGCATGAGTGAGTATTGTAACGGTAATTTTGGCCCACCCTGTAAATTCACCAACTTACCAAATTTACATGAACTATCAGTTCTTTTTCGTTTCTTGAAGATTACAAAGATTTAGGTGACGACAAACTATCGTCACTACTCTGAATTTGAGCTTAATTTTCTGACGATTGGATCGATTATCGTTCAAATCTTGTCCTTTTTCATTGCCTTTTTTCTCCCAATGAGAGAAATCACCGGCTCGATATTCAGTCAACGAAAAGTCACCACAATGATAGAGCAATTAGGTAGAAAGAAATCATTCTAACAAGGGCCAAATAACTTTAGAAGCTTTTCTCAAAAATCTCTTTGATATCGACATTCTATTGTTGGTTCCATTCCATATTTTTGCTGGAATGTATGTCGCTTTTTTGCTCACCGTTTACCCGACGACGGTGTTGTTTACTAGTGATTTTGCGACGTATCGAGACCTAGTTGGCTACATTTGCATGGCATTAGCAGTTGGAGAAATAGCAAGTAAAGATCAAAAGCTTAAACAAGAACAGTTGTCTTGATGTTAGCGCAATTCGCTTCTTCGGAAAAGCTTTTTCAAGATATTTTTAAAGCTTTTAAAGTTGTATTGTACCTAGAAATGCTTCAACTGGACTTTGTAAGCCAGATAAAATCAGGCAAGGCAAAGCTAAATCCAAGCTAAATCCTAGCTTCTAACGGGATATTTTCCAGAAGTTACAAGGTTAATGAATACTTGTCCCTATTCTTTTGCTTCTAATCCCTCTAATCTGAAGGATTTTTTCCCCTCTAATCCCAAGACAATTCAATCCCATTTTAGTCGGTCTCTTCATCAGTTTGATGAGTTGCAAGTTCAAAAATTTCGGTTTATGGCCGGTGTTTTTAATGACTCTTGGAAGCTTTGCGATCAGTGTGTCCTTATTGGTGCTCTTCACTCCAGAAATGGCTTCAATCAAGCCCACAAATGGGAAAGCGATTTTGGGAACAAGGTGAAGGATTACTTGTAATTAAAACTTTGTAATTTTTAGTCTTATTGCAGCTCTTCTAATGGGTGCACTAAATGGAGTGATTGATGGATGTCAGAGTAACGTTCGGATGGTCTTATCGGCCACGATTTTACCCTCAAATCCGGCGATTGCTTTCAGCATAGCGAGATTTTGGCAGGTAAGGAAAGGCTACTATATTCACAAATGCATGAACTCGAATCAATTTTATGGTTTAAAATACACTAAATAGTTAGCTCAGGCCGCAGGGTGTACTTTGTGCTCACCCAAACTTCTCTGGAATTTGGCAAACACACCCTTGTTGGCAAACTCACTTCTATGCTCTTCTCTGAAGCAATGCCCTAAAGAATTGCCCTAAAATCTTTTGGCAAAAATTACTCAAAGCAAGCTGTCATTTAGGCAGCAGCTTCGGCAATGTTCTGTTTGGTCAGCACTCGCTTAACTGTTTATCAATTGGCTACTCTGCTCACTTTCTCAATGATGACGGGTAACATAATGAAGTTTTTCATTTGAATGCAAGTTTAGCTGCCATTGGATTCTCGATATTGACGAGAAGGCTGAGAAATCGTGAAATGAAAAGATAGAAATGAGCAAGATCATTTTTCCGACTAATAAAACTTTCAGAATAAAGTTGAGAAGGTTTACATTTTTATCTATCGTATTCCTGTTGCCTTTCAGAGTTCAGAGTCGTTGTAAAGCTGTTGCTCAGCCGAAACTTATCGTTGGTTCAAGATGATTCACTTTAGTTTTGATCACTTTCTTGTATTAGGTTCAGAAAAAATAATGGGTGTTTTGAATTTCCCATTGGAGAATTGAAATTGTCTTCAACTCAACACTCACGACTCACGAGCTTGCAGAAATGTTCGATGTTTTCATTTTCTCGATGTTTTCAAAGAATCATTTTCTCGAAATTCAAAAAAAATATTTCTAAAGTTGAAGTTTCAAATTCTTTCAAGAATTATTTATTTTCCAAAACTTTCCAAAAACAAGAGGACATGCGGGGTGCAACACAAGGAAAACAGTCCACTAAATGAGCATTTCGTCACTCGAAAAAACAGCTGTTTTCGATTTGCATTTCTCAAAAGAAAAGAACGATAAACAACGTCTGAAAATTGTCTTTAAAAGACCGAATTCTAGGATTTCCATAAACAAATTTCAATTTAAACAAATTTACTAATCAAAACTTTCTTTTCTACGAAAATGGGTAACAGTGGAAGCACTGAACAACAATCGGTTGGTTTTCCTTTTTTGTGATTTGTGCTTTTGACATAAATTAAGTTTACTTTACTCAATTTATTTAGATTTTCAATGACTTATACAGTGAATTTCAGTTAAATTTACATTTTTTTTACTTTAACTGATCTTTAGGTAAGTCGTTGACTTGTTCCCTCGGGAAAAAAAGCAAAACAAAGCAAGTTACCGCACAATTTCTCTTCTGACTAAGGAACTGTTTCAACTTAGCATCGAGTTTAAAATCAACCCAACTCTTAAAACTGGGTTTTGCTCAGAATTTTGCGTAGAATCGGATGCACTAGGTCTCGTAGCTTAACTCGATGCTAAGTTGAAACAGTTCCAGAGTGAGGAGTTTCGAAAACAATGTACAACCGAATAAACTTTAAAATTTCGCTTCAAATAAACTTTGCGAAGTTGTAGTTCTTGATTTTGTTCTTGATCTTGTTCTTGACTTTTTCTCTTACAGCCGTCACCAAATACTTCTCGATCGAGCGGATCGTCGAGCAGACCCTCATCGCCGACTCCGAACTCGCACCCTTCCTCGGTTAATTTCCAAAAATTTCATGACAAAAACATGAAGAAAATTAAGAAAGTTTAAGACTAGAGTTTTAAATTTTTATTTTATTTTATCAGTAGTCTTTTGCACTGCACAGTCTTTTGCAATCATTGAATGAGCTCTGATTTTGATATGCAGAGGTTCTGTGACTAGCAAACACGGAACTTTTGAAAGTGTCTGCTTAAAAACGGTCAAACTACGAGACTTTTTTGTATTGGTTTATATATATACCTTATTCGGCAAAAGAATAAGTGGATTAGCAAAATTTACACAGATCAGAAAAAGAGCGAAAATAGTAATGACAATAAAGAAATTTAGAGCGAAAACTGAAAGTGGGTGCGGTGACAGACTAGCTTCACAATATGAATTTCAAAATGGAAAATTACAATTATTGTGGCCTTTAGGTCTAAAGAATCGACTATTTCTTTGTAAGCTAGAAGTTACTAAGAAGTAGTCGATTCTATGCAATTACAAAGAAAGCTACTCTTTGTAATTGCGAGTATGTTGAGTTTCCTTTTAGAAAACTAAATTGCTTGGCAAAGAGAAGTCTATGCTCATTAAGGTGACTAAGAATTTTATCATTGATGATTATCAAAAAGTTTGGAAAAGGGACAGGTTAGGGAGATGGGTCTATAATTTTGAACATAATCTTTGGAGGGGATTACAAAAGAGGGATGCTAAAAAGTTTAGTGAAGATTTTTTCAATAAATTAAAGAATTGAGTCTGATCTTTCTTTGGTTTTTATTCTCGAAACTTCAGACCTACAAACGCCACTGTGAAGCTTGCGATTCGACTCGATCAGCTTCGGACCACGAATCGGCAAAGAAGACCACTTATCATTGATTTTCTGAACAAATTTGAACATGAAACAGGAAAAACTTTGCCAGTTTACCGTAAAATTTCTTTTGAAAATGAAAAATCTATTTTTTTTTACTAATAAAACTTTGCAATAAAATTTGATGATGGTCGAAAACGAAAACAGAAACAGTTACTCGTCAAAAAATGATGTAAACCTACACTACTGGACAATGAAATATCATCTTTGAAAAACGATCGTCACTTTCGCGCGTCTGTAACTCCCTTGTCTTTGAGTTTAAACTATTAGTGTTATACATTTTCTGAGAGCTCTTTTCAAGGGCTACACAATGGTAATATTAATATTTAGAAATACGGTAAAGACAAGGGAGTTACAGACGCGCGAAAGTGACGATCTTTTTTCAAATATGATATCTCATTGTCCAGTAGTGTACATAGCTCTGCAGTTAAAGAAATAACTAAAATTCTATTGATATACCTACAATAATTACTGTAACGCAAAAAAAGAAATCTTAGCCTACACACGAAAATTCTTCAGAAGCACTTTTTCCAACCTTGAAGCCGGGATGACAAGTTCCGGATCAATGGCTATAATTGACGGGAGAAGGAGGCAGACACCAACCAGTCGCAACATTATACAAGTGAGAATCAAATAAAGAGTGAAGCCACTTATGAGTGAAATGAAAAGAGTCAACAGTCTTGGGACAATCATTGGGTCATTGTGCACATAGCACGTCAAGAATATGGCCGGTCTCTTGTCCTCTCGATTTCGCCTCTCTCCATTGAGTAGTAGAAATACTGATCTGTATAATGAGGCGCCGAGAACTATCTTATAGAAATCCTCACTTTGATTGCTCAATTAAAACCTTGATCTTGAAAATTTTCTTTGTTTTAAAAAGATACTCGTAACTTCTAGACTTGCCCCAAGCAATAGTTAGATACAAAATATCATTAAAACGTATATTTTGATCTAGGACGTATACATATTTTACAATCAAGTCCATATTCGGAATCTCGATAGGATTTTAAATAATATACTATAAGAAATAATAGATACAGTCGAATCTCGTTAGTGAACACCGCGATAGTGAACTAACCTCGATAGTAACCGGATTTGTTAGGACCCCTCTGAGTTGATTTAGTCCTAATCAATCCTCGATAGTGAACGGCTTTTTAGGATCCCTTCCATCGTTCACTAACGAGGTTCGACTGTACTTTATTTCAGTAATAAAGCGTAACAAAATCCAGAATACACAAAAATTTAAATTACACAGTTTTGCAATTAATCGAAAGAAAGGAAAAAATGAAAAAGAATACCATTTATAAATCTAATAAATTGGATAGTTTGAGCTCGAGAAATCGCAGATTTAAACAAGCTTAGAAATGAAAGATTGAGAATTTCATTGGGAAGAGAATTCCACAAATAATGTAGTATCAAAAATCCGAACTCTTACTATAAATTGTACATTAGAAAGCAAAAAAAAGCATCTTGAAAAGGACATGTCTTTTCAATTGAAAATGACTGTGTTTTAACGGAAACGTGGCGATGGTAATTGCCAAAGCAGTGACTCAATGAGTATTGTTGATAAGAAAATTTATTGACTCTTTCAAACAGTATTTTCATTCAATTGACGAACTTACTTATCATCAGGCGGAGGTCCCCAAGACTCATATTTTTCGAAAACTTTGCCATCTTTACAATCTTCACACATGTTGGAGAAAGCACCACGATTCCTCATCTGCCATTCGGTGAGCTTGTGATTCCAGTCCTGGTTCGCCGGTCCATCGCACTCATCCCATCCCCACACGTCTTGATGAATATACCAATTGCCTGATTTACGGGCAGCTTTTCCATTATTGTTCGCGTAACACCAAAAACACGTCGTTCCAAAGTTGTTCGGCGTAAAGCCCCAACCCAACGCCTAAAAATCCGTGACTTTAGTGAGATTTCATTGATGAATTTCAACTTAGAATTTAAGGATGCTTTTAGGCAAGAAAACTAGAAACCGTTATTTATGTTTTTACGGCGGAAATAACCTAGTACAGTAGAATCAGCCCGGGATTCCACCCCGGATGAGATATATAATAAAGAAGTGAAGGAATTGGCAAGAAAAAGTAGATTTCCCAAGAGGGAATTGAACCCTCGACTTTTTGCTTTCCGAGCAATTGCTCTAACTAACAAGAAAAATCGATGATTTAGTCTGTATGCATTTCCCGAGTGAGAAGAGCAAGGCCAGGGCATGAAACAATTTAGTCCAGTTCTTTTTGGAATGGCAATTTACAATATGCATAAATATTAGGTTGAGTACTAATTCTTGATAACACTTTTTGTTTTCTTTTTCATCAAAAACCTTTATAAGAATAAATTTTTAATATGATAATCAGACACTCATTGCCTAGCTTTAGTCAAAGTTTCATCCCGATCTAATGGCTGGACAACAAGAGTTTTTTTTGGCCTAAAATCCCCAACATTACCACATGTACTATGTGTTTTTATGAAACTTTTGAAACATTGTTAGTATTCGTTGTCTATTAGGCAGCGAGTTTTATCTTGTTTTGATAATTGAAAGCTGAGCTATGAACAAAGGAGCTGAAAAAGTGACTTGCAAAATAGACTTCCTAGAAGATTTTTCAGAAAAGAATTTAATCGAGAAACTTATCAGCTATCAAAGTATGCCTTATCAGCATCTAGATAAGATATGCGGCATAAAATCTCCAACATTACCACATAAACTTTTGGACATTTGAAACTTTACTTTTTCTCAGTTTCGAGCAACTTTTTGATAATTTGGAATGCTATCAAAGTTTCTCGAAAAACTATTTGATATATATGTTTTTATTAAAGTTGCCTTCTTCAAAGTATCTACTTCAAATTGCCAATTTTTGGCTGGAAATCTGTAGGGGTAGCAGAAAAATCTGGTTCACAGAAGATCCAGAGTCCAAATCGACTGGTTTCAGACAAAAGCTTCTTGCTTGAAGCCCACCCATTAGATCAAAATGAAACTTTGTCTAAAGCTAGGCAATGCGTGTCTGATTATCATATTTAAAATTTATAAGAAGCTATGGTTTGCTTTTTGATGAAAAAGAAAACAAAAAGTGTGATCAAAAATTAGTACTCAACCTATTAGGTACCTATTAGGTTGAGTACTAATTCTTGTATAAGTATATGGAAGCCTGAACATAGCATAGAGCATGTTGCCTACCTGTCCAGCCTTGAGAGTCCACCAACCATCTTTGCTCGACCCCTTTCCAGTAATTGTATCATCGGCTGAGGCACATTTGAGATAGATGGAATTTGAGCAGTTGTTTGTCACAACCACTTTGTACTCCTCAGTGAAAGTCTTGACGAGCTCATTAATAGCTTGCGAACTATCAAGCACTCCTCCTCCACCACCTTCAGTCAATGAGTTTAGGAGAATCATCAAGAAAGTTAGGGAAAGGATAAACATTAGGCAATTCAAAATATTCAATTTAATAACTGTTATTTTGGAAATTTGATATTCGAAAACTCCTTTTATAGGGAAACTGAGAGAACCAGAGCATAAATACTTTTATTATTCCCAGTTCTCATAGTGAAATTTAATTTATGTAAGTTCATGTTCTTTTCATTGAAGTTTTAAAGGGTGGACTCTTTACTATTGGCTTTTTGGATATTGGATATCGAACGATCGACAGGCGGCAGATGTGTTTCGATTGGATTCATTGAAAAACCTGTGAAAAACAACAATTTACCCCAAACAAAAATAATTTTTTGAAGAAAAGAAATCAGGGAATATATTGGATGATTGCTCGAACAGGGTTAGTATTGTTGTGTTGTTGTTAGTATTGTTGGGTAGTATTGTTGTGCAAAGTACTAAATTGTTGAGCTTATTGCAAGGGTAAATACTCAAATGAGAAAAGACTCCTTTCCACGAATTATTCGATTCGATATGTGATTCGCATTAGAATCACATCCCCGTGACCCCTCGAAATCTTGACGCCTTGTGGATAGATCTAGGCCTTCTATGGATAGATCTAGGCCTTCTATGGATAGATCTAGGCCTAAAGCCTCCTAAAATTTTATCGGCAGTAAAATTTAAAACGTTATTTTTGAAAAAATATAAAAATAATTTTTTGAAGAAAAAATTATAAGGGTCCCCACATGGATTTTTTTGGAGATTCAAAGAAGGTCGCGGGTAATAAAATAGTTTCACTTCTAAACGTGTTTTTTTGTACTTTTTGGACAAAAGGCCATCGTTTGAAATAGTTTTTAACAAACTATAAATTTTTGATTCATTTGATTTTTTTGATTCCCTTACCGTAAATACATTACAATAGTACCCCAGCCCCATAATGACGGTGCGGAGTGTTGCGTAGTCTAACTTTGAGCGAGTTTTTCTCGACACTGGTTTATGCTACAATGCGCGCTTAAATATCAAAAAATAGTCCTGAATCTCAGCTATTTTTTGATACCAAAGACGCATTTTTTTGAAAGTAAGGGCGCTTTGAAAAAAATGAAATACTAAAAAACTTTTGCGACTACGCGACTGTACGAGGGCGGTGGGGTGCTATTACAGTATTTACGGTACCGATTTTTTGGGTCGGTTGAGTTTGAGGGGTTGAAAAATAGAATGAAATGTCTTCTAATACAGCATTTACGGTATTAGATTAACAAGAAAGTTCGTAGGAAAGATTTGCACGGTGATTTCTCAAAAAGCAACCCATAAATTCTTCCCAAATTTTTTTTTGGTAAACTTAAGAGATTTCTTCAGCTGAAGTGACCAGCCTTTAGACAGGTTTTTAATGGGTTAATGGGTAGGTAATGGGCTTCATTTAAAAAATAAAATAACGTTTCGTAAAACAGAAAATTTGTGATTAAGACAAATTTTATCTAATCCTTTAAATTTTCATACATACATACATACAACAGACGGTACGTCGTTATTAGTATTGCAATGTACAGTCAGTGCTCTCACTTTGCGGTCATTTTTCTTTTAGTAAACAATAATTTTTCGAAAAGTTTTTTATACCATCGTCTAGCCCAATTGAAGGGTCAGATTTTGATATCAGACTCGCAAAAAACGAAGGCAATTCCATTTGGCAATTCCTGGTAAATGGCAATTCCATTTGGCGCAATTTTCGCTTTTACGCAGCGGCGCAATCTTGACAATCCTTTTATTTATCCTCCATTGGTACAACAAACGGTCTTGCATTTGTTCTGACTATCAGATCTTGTAGATTTTTTGTATTGACAATTTAGTGTGGCAGCCTGTGGCCTGATGATGATCTTCACAAATCGTTCGAGTGCTGGAGAGCTTTTGGGGAATCAAACAGTTAGTTTGTTTGTTAGAAACTTGTTTAAACCAAAAATTTGCCACTTACTATTTACTAAATTCACCAACTTACCAAATTTACCAACTATACATGAACTATCAGTTTTTTTTTCGTTTCTTGAAGATTTCAAAGATTTAGGTGACGACAAACTATCGTCACTACTCTGAATTTGAGCTTAATTTTCTGACGATTGGATCGATTATCGTTCAAATCTTGTCCTTTTTCATTGCCTTTTTTCTCCCAATGAGAGAAATCACCGGCTCGATATTCAGTCAACGAAAAGTCACCACAATGAGAGAGCAATTGGGTAGAAAGAAATCATTCTAACAAATGCCAAACAACTTTAGAAGCTTTTCTCAAAAATCTCTTCGATATCGACATTCTATTGTTGGTTCCATTCCATATTTTTGCTGGAATGTATGTCGCTTTTTTGCTCACCGTTTACCCGACGACGGTGTTGTTTACTAGTGATTTTGCGACGTATCGAGACCTTGTTGGCTACATTTGCATGGCGTTAGCAGTTGGAGAAATAGCAAGTAAAGATTAAAAGCTTAAACAAGAACAGTTGTCTTGATGTGCAATTCGCTTCTTCGGAAAAGCTTTTTCAAGATCTTTTTAAAGCTTTTAAAGTTTTTTCGAAAGTTTTATTGTACCTAGAAATGCTTCAACTGGACTTTGTAAGCCAGATAAAATCAGGCAAGGCAAAGCTAAATCCAAGCTAAATCCTAGCTTCTAACGGGATATTTTCCAGAAATTACTAGGTTAATGAATACTTGCTCTTATGCTTCTAATCCCTCTAATATAAAGGAATCTTTTCCCTCTTCCCAAAACAATTCAATCCCATTTTAGTCGGTCTCTTCATCAGTTTGATGAGTTGCAAGTTCAAAAATTTCGGTTTATGGCCGGTGTTTTTAATGACTCTTGGAAGTTTTGCAATCAGTGTGTCCTTATTGGTGCTCTTCACTCCAGAAATGGCTTCAATCAAGCCCACAAATGGGAAAGCGATTTTGGGAACAAGGTGAAGGATTACTTGTAATTAAAACTTTCTTAAATTTTTAGTCTTATTGCAGCTCTTCTAATGGGTGCACTAAATGGAGTGATTGATGGATGTCAGAGTAACGTTCGGATGGTCTTATCGGCCACGATTTTACCCTCAAATCCGGCGATTGCTTTCAGCTTAGCGAGATTTTGGCAGGTAAGGAAAGGCTACTGTATTCACAAATCCACAAATCCAAGAACTCGAATCAATTTTATGGTTTAAAACACACTAAATAGTTAGCTCAGGCAGCAGGGTGTACTTTGTGCTCAGTCAAACTTCTCTAGAATTTGACAAACAGACCCTAGTTGGCAAACTCACTTCTATGCTCTTCTCTGAAGCAATGCCCTAAAGAATTGCCCTGAAATCTTTTGGCAAAAATTACTCAAAGCAACTGTCATTTAGGCAGCAGCTTCGGCAATGTTCTTTTTGATCAGCACTCGTTTAACTGTTTACCAATTGGCTACTCTGCTCACTTTCTCAATGATGACCGGTAACATAATGAAGTTTTTCATTTGAATGCAAGCTTAGCTGCCGTTGGATTCTCGATATTGACGAGAAGGCTGAGAAATCGTGAAATGAAAAGATAGAAATGAGCAAGATCATTTTTCCGACTAATAAAACTTGCAGAATAAAGTTGAGAAGGCTTACATTTTTATCTATCGTATTCCTGTTGACTTTCAGAGTTGTTGTAAAGCTGTTGCTCAGCCAAAACTTATCGCTGGTTCAAGATGATTCGCTTTAGTTTTGATCACTTTCTTGTATTAGGTTGAGAAAAAATAATGAGTGTTTTGGATTTCGCATTGGAGAATTGAAATTGACTTTAACCCAGCACTCCCGAGCTTGAAGAAATGTTTGATCTTGATCAGAAGACAATCGACAACCATTTGCACCAAGTCAGGAAAGAAATTCGCTGTGGAAAATGTGCCCCAAATGAATTGACTCAAGAATTGACTCAAGAACTGACTCAAGAATTGAAACAAAACAACTCGTGTCAACGTCAGTTCTTTTTTGCCCCATAAATGCAAAGCTAGTGTTTTTGGGATTCATTTTACTGAAAAAAGTAACACTTTGACCCCTTTTTTGTTAATTTTTTCGTGTCTTTCAGATATCTTTGAAATAACGTATATTCTCTAATAGTAGTGCACCCCGGCGAGCCGAGTTGATGACTATTTTGTGGTTGCCAAGCTTTTGCAGAAACTCAACACTCTAATCCCCACTGGATCTCATCGTCAGCTACATTTTCCGACCCCACATCGATAGGTTTTGATAAGCGGTTCTCGAGATTTCGACCAATTTAAGCGACGCTCAGGGTGCACTACTATTAGAGAGAATACAGTAGGGAATCTGAAATAAAATGAAATAAACTAAAATAAGGATAAATTTAGCACGATTTTAGAAGTCTAGAAGCTCGCCTGGCCCTGGTCCAAAACCTAAAATCTATATAAAAGAGCTGCGTCTGTCTGTGCACACTACTCCTCCGCGCCTAGTGGGCCCTTTCAAATAAACTATACCGTATTTTCTCTAATAGTAGACGCACCAGCGAGCCGAGTTGGTGACTATTTTACGGTTTCCAAGCTTTTGCAGAAGCTCAAGACTCAAATCCCCCACAATTTATCATCGTCAGCTACATTTTCCGACCCCACATCGATAGGTTCTGATAAGCGGTTCTCGAGATTTTGAGCAATTTAGGCGACGCTCTGGGTGCACTACTATTAGAGAGAATACGGTACATTTGATGAAAGAATCATTTTCTCGAAATTCAAAAAAATATTTCTAAAGTTGAAGTTTCAAATTCTTTCAAGAATTATTTATCTTCCAAAACTTTCCAAAAACAAGAGGACATTCGGGGTGCAACACAGGGAAAACAGTCCACTAAATGAGCGTTTCGTCACTCGAAAAACAACTGTTTTCGATTTGCATTTCTCAAGAAAAAAGAACGATAAACAACGTCTGAAAATTGTCTTTAAAAGATCGAATTCTAGGATTTCCATAAACATTTCCATAAACAAATTTCAATTTACTAATCAAAACTTTCTTTTCTACGAAAATGGGTAACAGTGGAAGCACTGAACAACAATCGGTTGGTTTTCCTTTTTTGTGATTTTTGTTCTTGACATAAATTAAGTTTACTTTACTCAATTTATTTAGGATTTTCAGTGACTTATTCAGTGAATTTCAGTTGAATTTACATTTTTTTTTTTTACTTTAACTGATCTTTGGGTAAGTCATTGACTTGTTTCCTTGGAAAAAAAAGCAAAACAAATCAAGTTATCGCACAATTTCTCTTCTGACTAGGAAACTGTTTCAACTTAGCATCAACCCAACTCTTAAAACTGGGTTTTGCCCAGAATTTTGCGTAGAATCGGACGCACTAGGTCTCGTAGCTTAACTCGATGCTAAATTGAAACAGTTCCCGAGTGAGGAGTTTCGAAAACAATGTACAACCAAACAAACTTCAAAATTTCGCTTCAAATCAACTTTGCTAAGTTGTAGTTGTTGATGCTCAGAATTTTGCGTAGAATCGGACGCACTATGTTCTTGACTTTTTCTCTTACAGCCGTCACCAAATACTTCGCGATCGAGCGGATCGTCGAGCAGACCCTCATCGCCGACTCCGAACTCGCACCCATCCTCGGTTAATTTCCAAAAATTTCATGACAAAAACATGAAGAAAATTAAGAAGGTTTAAGGCTAGAGTTTTAAATTTTCATTTTATTTTATCAGTAGTCTTTTGCAATCATTGAATGAGCTCTGATTTTGATATGCAGAGGTTCTGTCACTACCAAACACAGAACTTTTGAAAGTGTTTGCTTAAAAACGGTCAAATTACGATAGTTTTTTGTATTGGTTTATATACATACATTATTCGGCAAAAGAATAAGTGGATTAGCAAAATTTACACAGATAAGAAAAGAGCGAAAATAGTACTGAAAATCAAGAAATTTAGAGCGAAAACTGAAAGTGGGCGCGGTGACAGACTAGCTTTACAATATGGATTTCAAAATGAAAAATTACAATTATTGTGGCCTTTAGGTCTAAAGAATTGGCTATTTCTTTGTAAGGTAGAAGTTACAAAGAAGTAGCCGATTCTATGCAATTACAAAGAAGGCTATTCTTTGTAATTGCGAGGATGTTGACTTTCCTTTTAGAAAACTAAATTGCCTGGCAAAGAGAAGTCTATGCACATTAAGGTGACTAAGAATTTTATCACTGATGATTATCTCAAAAAGTTTGGAGAGGGGACAGGTTAGGGAGATGGGTCTATAGTTTTTAACATAATCTTTGGGTAGGGATTACAGAAGAGAGATGCTAAAAAATTTAGTGAAGGCTTTTTAAATAAATAAAAGAATTCAGTCTGATCTTTCTTCGGTTTTTACTCCCAAAACTTCAGACTTACAAACGCCACTGTGAAGCTTGCGATTCGACTCGATCAGCTTCGGACCACGAATCGGCAAAGAAGACCACTTACAGTCATTGATTTTCTGAACAAATTTGAACATGAAACAGGAAAAACTTTGCCAGTTTACCGTAAAATTTCTTTTGTAAATGAAAAATCTATTTTTTTTTTCACTAATAAAACTTTGCAATAAGTTTTGATGATTGTCGAAAACGAAAACAGAAACAGTTACTCGTCAAAAAAAGATGTAAATCTACATAGCTCTGGAGTTAAAGAAATAGCTAAGATTCAATTGATATATTGGGTTGGGGAGAATGAGTCGAAAATCAAAGAAATTTCTAAAACTTATAGCAGACTTTGTCAAATGATATGCGTTTGATATCAGTAGAATGGTTAACTAATTCTCTACAAAATAATATTTAAAAGAGAACTCAAACAGCGCCTCAACTCAACAAAGGATCATTTTTTTCACAAAATCGATAAACTGTCATCTAGAAAAAACCATTGGTGGGATCTTCCTGCAAATTTGGCAACTTAAGTAATTGAATGTGCTCTATCTTTTTTATATAAACACCAAAGAAGGTTTATGTGAAAGAAACTGTTCAAATCATGAGTCGGACTCTTTGCCATTTTAACCAGCTGCGTTTGGAAGTTCATAAACTCCACGAAAGAAAAGCTTTGTGGAATCTCTCAAAAGTGATTTTGTAGAGAAATAGTGGATCCTTTTGATGAAACCAAACGTATGTTTAAAGAAGGCTTCATGTGTGCAAAAGTCCCTTTAAAGTTTGGCGCCGACTCATTCTTCCCAACCCAATACCTACAATACTTATTGTAACACAAAAAAGAAACCTTAGCCTACACGCGAAAATTCTTCAGAAACAAATGAGCTCATTTTGTTTCGATTTCGAGATGTGTCGAACTGAAGTCAGAGTGTACCATGTAGGGGAAATGGTGAAGATATTTTACCTTTTTGCCCTTTTTAGAGAACAGACTACATTGAACGACTTTAGATCAAAATTTTCAAAAGTATTAGGTACATGCATAAGAAATGCGGATTTCAACATTTTCATAAATTTCCAACGCTAGAAACCTGATGTTATAAACTATT